AGACGTATTGATGGTAGCAACTGCGACCAGCCAGACACACAATTAAATCTACCGTCAAATATAAATCTACACATGGAACCAAAATAAATTTTGAACAAATTAAATCTACCATTACAGAACAATAAATCTACCATCACACAATTTTAACTCTACCATAGAACAAAACACTTCCAGTTTACATAATTCACTCTACCATCAAAAACAGTATATAGACTCAACGAAGGATTCAAGTCTTCTCAATACCATACCCAAACAGAGGTATATAGACTCAGAAAGCTCTATGTTTTAATTTCAGCATCATGCTTGAAAAGAATACAACAAATCACAACTAATCGTTCACTTCTGAATCCCACAGTTGAATATGAAGTTTGATATGCCACCATCAAAATCTCAAAATTCTAGAGGGATCATGCTCCATTTGACCATCCAAATGATCTCATGAAGACGCTCCAACATAACTGTTTTTTGGAATTTTTCAGGTTCGGAGGATTATTAGTCAAATTCACCACAATATTCGGATGGATTTTAACTTTGATTGATAAGCTGTCAGATTCTATCTCTTCCTTGTAGTGAGATCTTTCCAGAGACACCTTGAAGGTGGAGTGAAACTTCCTAAGTCGACGGGAAAAATTTCTCGAAGTTGGCTTCTGTGACACCGAAATGCAGAGTTCAGAAATTTTAGCAGGCTTGATTAGTTTCAACAATAACTTGCGCAKTTCACAACATAATYGAGATCTTCTTTTYYTGTGGAAAGMTGGCTTCATTATCTTCACAACGGTAATAAGAACGGTTTCTGGTTCGTTTTGGTTCATCGAGAAATCGTCCCGTATGCTTGCTGGTCGCAGCTGCTACCATCAAATATGAATCTACACATGGAACCAAAATAAATTTTGAACAAATTAAATATACCATTACAGAACAATAAATCTATCATCACACATTTTTAACTTTACCATATATCAAAACACTTCCAGTTTACATAATTTACTCTAGCATAAAAAAAACAGTAATTGAAACTTCATAGAAATCTACCACCACTGTGAATATACAAGGAATCATTCCCAACTCACTGAATATGCCTTTAACAAATCTACTACCAAATCGATTAACAAATCTACCATGCCTTTTATAAAACCGCAAACAACCCTTCCTCTCACCTTAGCTATCTCTGTCGGCGGCAAAATCTGTACCAGAACACGAGTTTTAGTCCAAATCTGTCAAATAAATTGGAGATTAGGGTTTTGAGATTCTTACCAAACCCCAACACACCGAAACAAAACCGGATATCCAATTACCTATTGTAGAATGCGCCAAAACGAAACCCCAAGACTCGAAACCCCAAGACTCGTCAGATTTTTCCGTCGCCGGAACTTTCGAAACCTGTAGAAGAACAAATTGAACATGATAAATCCGAACAAAATCGATGAAAATGAGTGTTTATATGAAAGGAAGAAGACTCGCCATGGTTAGAAATCTTACCGTTGAACACAAACCTCGCTGGAATCACCTCTCTCGTCGCCGACAACGAAACAGAGAAGATGAGTGGTCGTGTTTTGTGAAAAGTGAAAGAGAAACCGTACAAATCTTTCTTTAGCCTAATACCTTTTTGTATTTTTTTTTTCTAAGTGATAATGGCATACTTGTAATTAAAAAGTTTTACCAAGGTTATAATGACTTTTCCCTACTTTATGAGAAGCCCATATCTCATGGAAATTGTTTGAGCAATTACCCAATTTTTGGAAGTTGTTTGAGTAATTTTCCTCCCTCACATTTATTCATAATTACTGTCATAACCAATAAGTTCACTGTGTGACCAAAGAAAACAAAAAAACCAAAAAGTTCATTGTGATCTTAAACCGAACGATGATCTTCTTGATGGTGTGATTCGCCCCTCAAACCAATGATATTGATTCTGGCTCAAATTCAGCTTTGCAGGTACAAAAGTAACCATAATTTTCAATTATTGCCTTCACCAAAACTTATTTTATCTATGTTTACAAGATCCATTCATTTACTTCCTTTTGTGCATGAATCAGAAACTACAGTTGTTGTAGCTCTAATTAGCTTCATTATTGGTGTGATCTTCTTTATAAAGTTTGTAACCAATCATGGGACAAATAATTACATGATGTCTATAGAAAAGCCATAAAGACAGTTGACTTCTTCACTTAGATGGCAAGAGGCCATGCCATTTTGAAAAGTCTGGTAGTTTTCTCTGTGGCTGTGAGCCAATTTATAATCGTAATTATCTTTAAGTTGTATTACCACCACAGGGAAAATGCATTTAATATTTGCTTTTTCCCTTATACTCACTTTCCTGCAAATTATGAGAAGCACCAAAAGCTTTTAACCAAACATAAATAAATAGGTATGAGATTTTTTATGTTATTGCTTTCAATGTTCTCATGTTACTTGAAGCATATACCTATGAAACTGATAAGGAAGCGTTGTTCAAGTCTCAAATTTCTCAAGACAAAAGAGTTGTCTTGTCCTCATGGAATCACTCATTTCCTCTTTGCAACTGGACTGGAGTTACATGCGGGCGCAAACACAAGAGAGTCACTGGTTTGGACCTCGAAGGATTGCAGTTAGGTGGAGTGATATCACCATCTATTGGTAATCTTTCGTTTCTCATATCACTTGATCTGTCAAATAACTCTTTTGGTGGAACCATCCCTCAAGAGGTGGGAAACTTGTTTAGACTTGAAGACTTGTTTATAGGCTTTAATATAATTCTCTCGGAGGAGAAATTCCCACGGGGCTTTATAACTGCTCTAGATTGTTGAACCTTGATTTATATTCAAATCATCTTGGATTACTGAAGATGCTTATTAGTATAAAATCTTGGTCAAAACAACTTGAGAGGGAAGCTGCCTGCATCTCTAGGAAACTTGACATCCCTTAGAGTACTTTAATTTCGGAGGTAACAAAATAGGAGTAATTCCGGATGATATCGCTGGATTGAACCAAATGGTGTATCTCGTACTAGCCAAGAACAAGTTCTCAGGCCCTTTTCCCACTGCAATCTACAATCTTTCCTCACTTGAGTATTTATACATCTTTGGTAATGGTTTCTCCGGTTTGGTAATGGTTTCTCCGGTTGCTTGAGACCTCATTTTGGTAATTTGTT